ATAATATCAGAATAGTTTCTGTCCCCAAAACTGACACAAATCAACCTCAAATTCATGCCAAGTAACCCTATATTTCTGCATAATGTAACCATCAAACCAGGTTTCAGCCTTCCCTACTAAGTACATAGCAGCTATTTCCAGTTTTTGCTCCTCTGGTATTCCAAACAAATTAAAGAACTTCTGACATTTCCTAATCCAGCCCCTGGAATTGTTACCATCAAACATTGGCAACTCCAATTTGGGTCTAGGTAACACAACACTTGTATTCCCAAAAGGGTTTTTACAGTAGCTTCTAGTATCAACATGTTCATCTCCTCCGCCTTTAGTCTCACTAGAACTACCCATCCGATTTTCTTCTTGCAACTTTGTATTAACAGTTTGATGACCAATAAACCCCACAGGTTTAGAAGCTAATATCCCTGGTTCATTAGGTTGAAAAATATATTTCTCATGCTCGCTAAGAACCGTAATCAAACAGGGTTGTTTACCTCCATTTTTGTCCTGTTTCTCAACTTCTGTTGGTTGATTCTTCACTGACTGAGGTGAATCCTTCTCCTCAGCTGCTTGATTGACCAGCTGCAGAATTCTCTGCAAATACTCTCTGTTCTCAGTCATTCATTCTTCTAATGTTTGAATCCTTCCTTCCAACTCAACTTTCTGCTCGGTCCACCACGATGGTAAAGATTCTTCTTTCCCCTCCATGGTCTGTTCTGGTACCTCACTGGTTTCAGTCTTTTGCATCTTCCTTGTCTTTACCAGCGTGAACTACTTGATTTTGGATCACAAAACGCAGCTCTGATTACCAATTTTTATGATTTAGGATGAAAATATAGAAGAATTTTAGGGATTTCAGAAAGAGAGAGATTTAGATACAGAAAATGTGCTTCATTCATCAGATAATTCCCTAAGGATTGGTACAACTTATATATATATATTACCAATTGTCAAAATAGCATCTCTAACAAAATAACCACCCTATGCTGACTCACCATTCCCTCTTCTCTCCCCATGCTCTTCTAACAGACTCAAGCCCAACTTAAAAGTCCAACAATAATTAAAAAGGAAATTATCATATAAACCCATTAACCCCTCATATACCTCAGCCGACTCCCCTAATCACCTTCGATTCCCAATTCTTCAGATAACATCAATCCCTAGCCTCCAGGTAAATCCCTAATTTGCTTCGAGTTGTCCCCAATTCCTGCTGTTGCTTCCCAATTCTTCCCTTCGCAATTTCCCCCAAATCAACACGATCAAACCCTAATCTTCCTGTCATCATAACAATATATTCATACATACATACATACATACATACATATATGCACATATGCTGTAGCAACTGTAATTACCTTTCTAATTAGACTTTGTGCCGGATATGGCTGCTCATTCAGCTTGCGATTTTGGTGAAGGCAAAGCTGAGAGACTGGCCTTACCTAAGTACCGCCAAGTTTTATGGCAGGGAAGGGTCTTAAACTCTCAATTCACTGACAATGAGTTGAGAAATCAGGGGCGGTGCCCATTAACTCCAGAGGAGATTGGGTTGCTACTAACTGCTTTGGGCTTCAACAATGATACTCGCCTCTATCTTGCTTCACACAAAGTCCGTTTTCATTTCTTTCTTTTTGCTTGACAGTGGAATTAGTCTACTATCATCTTAGCTTGCTACATAGGAGTCCATTTGATCTGTCATATTCACGAGGTTAATTTTGGGAACTTCTGTTTCGAGTGTAACTCTGATTTAAAAGGAGCCTTTTTCCTCTTCTTTTTCAGGTTTATGGAGGAGAGGCAAGGATCTCAGAATTGCACAAAATGCTTCCTCTCATGGAAGACAAGAAGACCCTTGCTTCAGCGGTGGAGCTCGCCAAGGCTGAAGGTAAAGCATCTTTGATGGCTGCAATTGATTATTACGTGAGCCTTCAAAGTGACATCTTCATCTCTGCTTCTCCTGGGAACATGCACAATGCTTTGGTAAGAATGCCCTTTAAAGTTCCGTTGCCAAATTTCCACTTTCATTGTTTCTTTGAGTATCAAATTTCATCGGGTAAAAGTTCACTTTATCCTATTTACAGCTTGGACATCGAGCTTATTTGAACTTGAAGACCATAAGACCGAACTTGTTAATGCTGGGTCCTCTATTCCTGAACAAAAGCATGCAGTGGTCTGAGTTTCAGCGTGCAGTTATCGATGGGCATAAAAATAGACAAGGCCAAATGAGGTTAAGAAAGGAGAAGCAATCAATATATACATATCCAGCCCCCGATCGCATGTGTAAGAGCTTAACTTCGTAAACATCATGGTATCAAGCTGGCTCTTCAGTTTGCCAAGATTGTCAGACATGTATGTATGTTTGTATTCAGGCTTTTTTAGCGTATAAATCAATTTTGATGGCATTAAAATGAAAATTATTCGGATACTACTTAATTTTGTCTGCTGACTCGTTTATACCACTGAGTTTTTAATTTTGTCAATTATAGCATTAAACTTTAGTTTTACATTCAATTATGACACTTTGTTGTTAAGTCACTAATGAGACGATGACATAGCTAACTGTTGATGACTTGATATATCATATCAAAACAACATTTTGGTACGACTGTTCTAATACCTAAAACGATGTTGCCATAGATACTGAACTTTAGAGGTGTACCGATTTTGCCATTAACTTTTACACAATTTATTTTTTTGGCACCACTTTTTGGCCGCCGTCTACAGTAAATTATCGTCACATGATTAGTTTTTTTTATCATATTTCGTGACAAAATCGGTATCAAAATGTTTATAGTTCAAGCTCTATTCTTCTTGTATGATTAGTTTTTCACGAAACTTAAATTTGACAAAATTAAACAAAAAAATCTATCATTTTTAGATGTTTTGAGATTTTATTAGATCTATGGGATTTGAGATGTTTGTTCGGAAATCTGAATGGTGAAGAGCATTACTTCGAGAAGACGAACAATGTACCTTAAAACTAGCTTCGTCAGACGATCTTTGAAAGATATCGAAGTATTAATACGTTGAATTTTTAAATTAAATTTTGTCGATTTTGAATGAGATTCGTGGAAAACCGATCCTAGTTGATGAAAGATGAGCGAAAATACAAACGTTTTGGTACATATCTTGTCGTGAAATATGACCGATAATGGGCGGTATTTGGCTACTGATGGTGCCAAGAAAGCGTAATAAAATTCAATGACAAGATTAATACACACTTAAAGTCCCGTATTTAAAAATGACATTGTTTATGCATCAAAACAATCACACCAAAATGACATCGTTTTGATGTGACAAGTTATATCAATAACTATTAATCATATCATTATCATGTTACTGCTTTAATGATAGAGTAATATAATTGAATGTAATACTTTAATAAAATTAAAAAAATAATAATATAAACAAGTGAACGATGAAAGTATTGAAATAATTTTCCATTCTTTTATTTATTGAACTTTTCAGTTTTTTATTTATTTATCAGTTTAAACTTTTGAAATCATTGATTACCCAACTTTAATTTTCCTCGAGATGTCTAATATCTTATCTGGCTTTGCCTATGACGTTCGATCATATTTGATAAAAAGGAAGGCTGACTTGGTAAAAAGCTGCTAACCGTTGTGTTTGAGTGTGCCACTAAAATAACCTCCAAGCCGCCACTTTGGTAAAGAAATATAGCCTTTTTTGGTACAATTACAACATAGAGGAAAGAATGTCACTCAGAATTTTAACCATTGCTCCAAGTGTCGGCAAAGTATAGGCTAACGGGCTATTTATTTGTGGAATGCAAGTTAGCTACAATTTTAATGTGTTTTGATTAAGTGAAAATGTTACTACAAAAGATAATATATATATATATATATATATATATATGTTTCCTACAAATATGAATTTCTATTTATAAAAAGAAAAGACAAAAAACTTCTTAATTACTTAATTTTGAAAACGAATAGATTGGTTAATGAAATGAAACATTAAAGATAATTCATGTTGTGTTAACATTTCATCAAATTTATATTATTTTAATTATTTAATAATAAATTTAACTTTTAATGTTTATAAATTATGTCAATTTATTTTAATTATATTTTTTATTATTGAATATATGCAATTAGAATCAAATTAATGTAATATATTAGTATTGAAGATATTAATATGATAATGAATTATTTTAATTATTAATTTTTAAATTTAATAATTACATTTTTCATGTTTTTAAAAAGATCGAATTATGTTAGATTTTTAATAAAATGGGAAACATAGAAAACAAGCTTTAAAAAGAAGAATTTGTTGTTAAACTTTTTTGCTGAGAAAAAACAATTAAGAAGATTATCATCTAATCATTGCTCAGTGATAAATGATAAATTACTTGAATTGTTTAAATTTGTATGGATATGAATTCAAATCTCAACGACCATTTACATTTTAAAAAGGCTAAAGTAAGGGAAAGTCTCATATAATTAAGGAAAAATACTATCAAAAATATTATTAATTTTTTAAATATTTATGGTAAAAAATTATTTAAAATATTATTATTTCTACTGAAAATGTTATTATTGAACGTTTTACTAGATTTGTTAATATATTTAGTAAAACGTTACATAAAATATTATTTTTTCTACCGAAAATATTAAAATCAGACACTTTACAAAAAATATTAAAAAATATTAATGTTTTAAATAAAAAATATTTTTTAAAATAATTTTTTACTAAAAATATTAAAAAATAATAATATTTCTTATAACACCTTTATTTAATGTATATTAATAACTAGGCATACTTCCTCTAAAGTAAAAGCTAAGGTCAACTGCCAAATATTAAGCCAGCCCCTGCTTTGCATGGACCCACGTTCAAGACGGTGCCCTCTATCATTTATAAAAAAAAAATCACGTGAATATCACGTGACTCAATTCCCCCCCTTTTCTCTCTCAAACAATTTGAATTCGGATCTGAGCGCCTTTTCTCAAATCCAGTTTAATTTTTCAAATGCTTAAAAGGTTTTCCCCATTTGCCTCGACCATTCAAATTTCCCCAGTCCCTTTCTTTTGTCCCTTCCGGATTCAAAATCCAACGTCTAAAAAATCTAAAACCAAAAAGCAGAGAGGAAATATCTCAATCTCTTTCAGGTACTCGATTCTCCTATCAAATTAAGATTTTCTATTCATGTTTTATACATTTGTCGTATAATCGGATTTTAGATCTGATGTATTGATTTTGAGTGATTCAAAAGATGTTTTAATAGTTTATTTTCGTTTTTGTTCTGTAAGGTTCTCCCGGCATTTCTTTCGTATATAGATCGCATTAGATAAGAGATGGAGAATTCGGAATGCGTGAGAGTCGCCGTTAATATTCGGCCGCTGATTACTACAGAGCTTCTCAATGGATGTACGGATTGCATCACTGTCGTTCCCGGCGAACCTCAGGTATTCTGTAGCAATTTCCCCGTGAATATTGTGAATTTGAAATGAATAGTGATGTTGGATTCTTAGCTTTATAAATATTTTAAAGTTTATTTTTATTGATACAATTATAGGTTCAAATTGGGTCACATGCCTTTACCTATGATTATGTTTATGGGGGAGCGGGATCGCCTTCTTCAGCTATTTACGATGATTGCGTTGCTCCACTGGTTGATGCACTTTTTCATGGTTATAATGCAACTGTACTTGCATATGGTCAGGTTAGTTTCATTTTTGTTTTATTATTATTATTGCTAGTTTTCTTTTCTTTGTTACATTTAATAATTGTCTGACTATAGTATTGTATTTTGGGGTTTTCAGACGGGTTCTGGTAAAACATATACCATGGGAACCAACTACACTGGGGAAGGAAGTACTGGTGGGATTATACCCAAAGTAATGGAAAATATGTTTAAAAGAGTCGAGGCAACCAAACACTCCACAGAAATTTTGATAAGGGTATCGTTTATTGAGGTAATTGGCTAAAATAGTTCTTCTACTTGCTTTTCTCAGTGATATATTTATTTGCTTATATGCGATTTTTGAATTTGACAGATATTTAAAGAAGAAGTGTTCGATTTACTTGACTCAAATTCAGCTGCTTTGTCTAAAGCTGAAGCCGTGTCTCTTGCCAAGCATACAGCTCCTGGAAGACTTCCGATACAAATTAGGGAAACAGTGAATGGAGGGATAACGCTTGCTGGGGTGACTGAAGCAGAAGTTCGGACAAAAGAAGAGATGGCATCGTATTTGTCACGTGGTTCTTTAACTCGAGCAACAGGAAGTACCAATATGAATAGCCAATCCAGGTAGCTTCATAAAGCTTGTTTTGTTTTACCCAAATTGGTATTCTGTTTGATTTAGAATAATATGCTCATTTGGCATGATATCAATTTTATTTTTAAATAATCGAAGATGTGAACAAGTTCTGCAATTGGTATTTATCTTACTTTTCTTTAATTCTTCGATGAGATACAATGATTATTTTGTTTACGTGTATTACGTAATCATTTTTCCTTTTAAGGTAATGAAAGAGATAAACAAGTTCTGGAATTGACTTTCTCTTGTTTTACTTATTCTCGGATTAGGATAAAATGATTATTTTGTTTACACGTTTTCATAAACATATTTTATAAATTTGTGCTATGTAATGTTCATTGTTCATTTTGTTTCTAGCCGCTCACATGCCATCTTTACGATAACCATGGAGCAAAAGAAGAATGCAAGCTGCCTAAATGGGGTAAATGATGATATTGGTGATGATATCTTATGTGCAAAGCTTCATTTAGTGGACCTTGCTGGCTCAGAACGTGCAAAAAGAACAGGTGCTGATGGTATGCGCTTTAAAGAAGGTATTTCTGATTTTCCATTTTCAAAAGCCTCATGTTTAAAATAGTGATAGGTTCTAACAGACAGCATTGACTTGAAACTTTGTGCTTTAAGTTATTTAAAACTTTGACATTTTGTTGATGCAGGCATTCATATTAATAAAGGTTTACTAGCCCTAGGGAATGTCATTAGCGCCTTGGGAGATGAGAGAAAGAGGAAGGAAGGAGGACATGTCCCGTATCGTGACAGCAAGTTGACTCGCTTGTTGCAGGCATGTTTTGATTTGTTCTGTTCAGCATTTTTTTTCTCCAAATAGTAACTGGATAATTATGTACAATCATTCAAATCTAGTTGTTTTAATTGGATGGTTTCACTTGTCGAAGTTAACTGTCTGTTAGGAAAAATTGAAAAAAATAAATCAATTGGAAACGAGCTCATTCTACTTAGAGCACATTTTATAAATTAAAAGTGGCAACATCAATTACTAGAAAATGGGTGTTTCTTATATCGACCAAATAACACACGCAGTTTTCTTCTTTAGGACTCTTGGCTATAGTGATATATGCTATCGTTTTATATTTGGAATTAATTTTGCTCTCTCTCTCTCTCTCTATATATATATATATATATCTGTATCTGTAATATATATATATATATATGTCCTCCTATGAAACCACCTTCCCCAGAAGGAAATTTTACATTTGCTGATAGAAATTTAAATTCACAGGATTCTCTTGGAGGAAACAGCAAAACAGTGATGATTGGTATGCAGTAAAATGTTTTAGAGCATTAAATATTTAGCATATTACTAGTACCTAGTTTTTGCTTTGATTTTCTTTTGCATGCATAAGAATGATTTCTTTCCATATTTGATTGTAGCTTGTGTTAGTCCGGCTGACACCAATGCTGAAGAAACCCTGAACACGTTGAAGTATGCCAATCGTGCTAGAAACATTCAGAATAAGGCAGTTGTAAGAGACTTGTGTTACATGGCTGCAAGAAGAAAAGCTCTTTTATCGGTGTTATAGTTCTCGTTCTAACTTTCTCATCGCTTATACTTGATTAGATAAACCGTGACCCAATGGCAACCCAGTTGCAAAGAATGCGGAGTCAAATTGAGCAACTGCAAGCTGAGCTTTCGTTTTACCGTGGTGATGGTCAAACATCATTCGATGAACTTCAGGTTATATATTACATAGAGATTGCAAATACTTCTATCAAGATTATTAACCTAGTTGCCTAAAGAGTGTTTTTTGGATTCTCAAGCACAAAGTATCTTTACTTGAAGCAAGCAATGCAGAGCTACAGCGAGAGCTTCAAGAACGCAGGCTCACTAGTGAGCAATTGGCCCAGCGTGCACTTGATGCTCAGGTGTTTTTCCATTTTCCATTTTGTTCTCAAAAATATACTGAACAAAGCCACTCTGAAATATAATGTATTTATTATCTCAGGTTGAGAAAGACAAATTGGTAATGCAAATGGAATCCGTCCGTAATGGCAAATCATGGGATGAGATTGACTCTAATCAAAATCAGGTAAGATCTTTGTCTAGCTAAATGACTCTAGCAGTCACAAATCCAATCTTGATTGACGTTTGCTATTGCATTATTCAGGATTTTGATTTGATGAAAACTTATGTGTTGAAAATTCAAGAGTTAGAAGGAGAATTGATTCGCTTGAAAAGCATAAACAGCACAAAGCGTGGCCGGATCTCTGATTGTATTGATTCTGATGATGATGGAGCCGCAAAAAGTTCACTATTTTCTTCTGAAAATGCTTATTTACCAGGTATGCTAAGAACGTATCGGCCTTTGCAGTTAACTATTCATTATTTTATTGATGCGCACTCCTTTTGTTTGTTAAAAATTCTGTAGCTGTTCATTATAAAATGTTTCAGGTGTTACTACTTTTAAAAGTAAATAAATTGAACTACCACCCTTCAAAGTTTTACGTGTTTTCTTGTCATTTCTTCTCAGTTGTAGACCTCATATAGAAATAATTGAATTGAAATTGAAACAGTCTATGTTAATCCCTGAATGTTTTTTAATCCGTTAATATAGCTGATTACTGTAAAAAACCTCATTGATGATTTTGATGAATGTAATTTCTGATAAGCCTTTGACATTTATATCATTTAATTTCTATTTATCTACCAATCTATTTCCATCTTTGGATGATAAGCCTACCTTAGAGAATGCAGATAAGAACAAGTCTTCCTTATTGTGCAGATGAGATCGAGGATAATGACGCTAATGAAGCAGAACTTGAACATTCTTCTCTCCAAGAAAAATTGGACAGGGAACTTAAAGAGTTGGACAAAAGACTTGAACAAAAAGAGGTATATATTGAGTTTCTTTTTCATTTTGCATTATTGATATTGGTGCATGCAGTATTTAAAAAAGCGCAGCTGAGGCGCGCCTAGGCGAGACTAGGATAAAGCGCCTAAGGCGCATCATGCGCGGAGGCGCAGAAAGGCGCCGCCTCTTCAATTGTTTTGGTTTTTTTCAATGTTACCTGACATAAAAGAAAAGGAAGTTACGGAGAAGTGTTATGGAGAAGAAGGGGTGGAAGGAGGGGTCACAACAAAAGCAAAGCAAAGGAAGATAGGAGGAATAGGGGAGGAAAGTATTGAAACTGAAGAAGAGAAAACTTTAGAAGAAAACAATCAATCAAATTAAGGAAAAAATGCCAAACAGAGGAGATGAAATACTAAGTCTCGGCCCTTTTAAATGGCAACTTTATTTAAATAGGGAATAGAAACAAATTGATATCAATTACACTAGGATTAAGGAATAACATTAATCATCATGATTAATTGCATTGAAACAGACGAGGCATAGCTGTTACTCCAAGAAGAAAGATGCGTGAATCCAGCTGTTTTAAAATTGGCAGTAAGTGAAACGGCAGCTTAGAAAAAATAGGGTAAGAAAATTATAAGAGTGCATGATAATATTGAAGAGATTATAGACCTTTAGTGGGTTCATTCCAACCTAATGGATTTTATACAGCCTTATCAAGTTAATCAGATCAACACTGAAGTTTGATTCAATAACAATCAGCAAGGCTCAACAAAATAACAAAAAACCATTAGCTTATAACAATTCATAACAAGTCAACAAAATAGAGAATTAGGGTGAATTTGGAGAAGTGGGTTTAGGGTGTAGGTGGTGTTAAAAAGGAGGAAGACACGTTTGTTGAAAGGTGTGAGGTAGAGGGACAAGAAGGAGATAAGTAAGAAGTTGATGCCAAGTCATTATTAGACTTTTATTTATTGTGGAATTGTGGACCAAGAAAGGAGGGGGAAGGGTTTGCTTGGGTTCTCAAGGTTTAATGGTGGATGGAACAACTTGTATATATTTTATTTTCAAAAAATGAGTCTTACTTCAACAAGGCGCACGCCTTGCACCTTGGCTATAAAACCTCTATCGCCTTAGTGCGCCTTGCGCCCTTTTTAACACTGGGTGCATGGAAATATTTCAGAATATTTGTCACTGAAACATTCAGATAATTTTCGTTTGCATCCTTTGTGGAGGCAAAACCATCATTTATTTTCCTAACAGTTTTTTATTTCTTTAAGGCTGAAATGAAGCGTTTTGCAAATACTGACACTTCAGTTCTGAAACAACATTATGAGAAGAAAGTTAATGAGTTGGAACAAGAGAAAAGGGCTTTGCAGGTTAGTCTTTTATTCAAAGTTCGTGTTTTTCCGTGATTACTGTTTTTCTGTAATACCGAATCCTTTTGTTTTTATTTTTCAATCGACAGAAAGAAATTGAGGACCTCAGACATAATCTTGCCAATATTTCTTCTAGTTCTGATGATGGTGCGCAAAAGCTGAAAGAAGAGTACCTTCAGAAGTTGAATGCCCTTGAGGCACAAGTGAGTTTTGGATTTTCTATCTCCTCTCAGCAGCAGCTTGCCAGTTTCCAGATTAATATTCTGCTCTGCAGGTTACCGAGTTGAAGAGGAAGCAAGATGCCCAAGCTCAACTTTTGAGGCAGAAACAAAAAAGTGATGAAGCAGCAAGGAGACTTCAAGACGAGATTCACAGAATCAAATCTCAGAAGGTAAATCTCAATCTTAAGCTCTCATATTTTCATCTTAAATACTGAAATTACTTCTGCTTAGGATTCTTGCAACCAATACCAATGCAAACGTCCATTTTTTAGGTTCAACTACAACATAAGATCAAGCAAGAATCCGAGCAGTTTAGGTTATGGAAAGCAACACGAGAGAAAGAGGTTCTTCAGGTACATACAAATATGAGACTACAATTTTCAGTTTTATAAGCAATGCAATAAAAGTATAAAACTTGCATGTTTATAAGCAATGTAATAAAATTTGCATGTTTAATTCATGGTTTTGTTATAGGATATATGTTTGTTATTTACAAATACCTCTTGGAGGACTATATGTGTAATTTTCTTGGCAAGTTTTACTTCATGGTTTTGTTAGTAATAGATATTTGTTATTGGCTGCACCTCTTTAAGCTATGTACTTTTTGCAGTTACAGTATCTAGCATATTATCCGAATAGTAATAATTTGATAATTGATAATATGTGATGTTTTCTTGTGATTACTGAATTATGCTCCACTCTTTACTTCTCTAGTAACCTTCTCTAGTTTCTTCGCGTCAATACCTCTCATCTAAGTTATATTAGTTTGAAATTGAAAATAATTGTATCTTTCGGCTTGCCGAGTGGTAATGCTGGGATGGGCGGTAGAGATCATAGGTTTGAGCTGTTGTGCTCTTCTTGCATAAAAAAAACTATTACTCACAGTTACTGCTTTAGAATGTTAAAGGAAATCTAGTTGTTACTTGTTCCTCAGATTCACAATCAGCACTAAGAAATTGTGTTGATACGTCTGAAAAAAAATAGAAATGTGGAAGCAAATGATATGTGATTCCTTTTAAATATTCTGGGAGTTTTATGTTTAGATAATTCAAGCAACACTTTTTTTTCAATGTATAATTATCGTCTATTTTTCTTGATAACTAGCTTAAGAAAGAGGGAAGGAGAAATGAGTATGAGATGCACAAGCTCTTAGCTTTGAACCAGAGGCAAAAGATGGTAACATTTACTTCCACATAGAAAGCATATGATCCTCCTAATTCCAGTGAACTTTTCTCACATGATGCATATGTGTGTTAGGTTTTGCAAAGAAAGAGCGAAGAGGCTGCTATGGCTACAAAAAGGCTAAAGGATCTTCTTGAATCTCGAAAGGCTTCCTCACGTGAAGCTTCCAGTTAGGAGCCTTTTATGATTTGCAGCTTATTTTTCTAGTCTTGTACCTATAATTCGATAACAATAAAATTTTCATGTGCAGGTGCTGCAAATGGCAATGGTCCTGGAGTTCAGGTATTGATTAACTGCAAACAGAATTAATATTTTGTTCTGAATTGCTTATAAAAATTATTTTTGGTCTAAACATATGTTATTGTACTGTCATGATTGGGTTTTATTTCAATTTTTTATGCATGTACCAATTGACTCTTGTATGATGTAGCATACTTTTCTTGCTCTTGAAGGCAATAATGCAGACAATTGAGCATGAACTAGAGGTGACAGTACGGGTACATGAAGTACGCTCTGAATATGAACGGCAAATGGAAGAGTGAGTTCTCTTGATGGCATGGAAAGTTTGTTTCAGTATAGCAATTTGGGTTCAACTTCTGTCAATTTCTTATTCATAAGATTCCAACTAGGAAGTGGAATCTTTCTTATGGTACTCATTCTATAATGTTGTTGAATCTATTAAAATAATATTATGTATGTACAATATATAGGAGGGCCAAGATGGCCAAGGAGGTTGCAAGACTGAAGGAAGAAGCTGAGATACATAAGCGTGGAACTTTAAGGTTAGAACTTTTGCTTTTATATATGCTCTTCATAATTTGAATAGTTCTCTTTCTTTCTCCATATTATCATTTAAACAAAATAACCAAATACTTCCTTTAATGCTACCAAATGCAGAGATTGTCCTGAGACACTGTCTCCCGGCGCGAGAAACTCGAGGATTTTTGCTCTAGAAAACATGCTTGCTGCTACATCTAACACTCTGGTCTCTATGGCCTCACAATTGTCTGAAGCTGAAGAATGTGAGCGTATATTCAGTGGAAGAGGACGTTGGAATCATGTCCGATCTCTTGCCGATGCAAAAAATATTATGAATTATCTATTCAATTTAGCATCAACCTCAAGGTAATGCATATTTCCAAATAGAAAATTTGCATGCTAATCGTTCCGTTTCCAATTTTTAACTTTGATTTGCTGCAACATTTTGCTTGTGTCATGGTAGTTAACCAACATGGATCTTGCTTTTTATTTGCCTCAATTAATAATTTGCTGTCCTTTCTTTGAAGGTGTTCATTGCGAGATAAGGAGGTTCTTTGCAGAGAGAAGGATGCGGAAATAAGAGATCTAAAGGAAAAGGTAGTGAAAGTTAGTAGCTTGGCTCGACAACTTGAGGCACAAAAGGCTGATCTTGTTCATCAACTGAAAGTGAAGGTATCACTTTATATGTCTGTTGATTATTATCAATTATCCGTTCCATATTCTCCTTTAATGTCTATGGAGTTTTGAATCTATGCTATTAATCTTTCAACAGAATGTAAATACTAAGCATTCCATGAAAGGAACCATGGATTCCAGCATCCCTGACTTCAATGGCGGAAGACATAAATATGAGTTGCGGAAACCGGTAAATTTCACTCCCCTCCACTTTAACTTTCCATTGTCATCTACTTGTTACTTAAAGTAGAACTATTGTTATAGGAACATCGAAGCTCTATGATCTTTACCGAGGACATGGATATATCTGAATCTGAACATTCAGATATGGACGCGCATGATGATGACGACGACGACGATGAGTGGGTGCAGTCAGACAAAAAGCAGATACTGAAAAGAGTGTCTAGATCTAGAACTTCGATTTTGGCTGTTCATCAACCAGATAGCAATGACTTAGAAAACAAGGGATGTAGTGATGAGGTTACTGAGAAAATTGATGGGATATGTTGCAGTTGCAGTAAGCAGTCTTCATGCAAAACATCGAAATGCCAATGTAGAGCAAACGGAAGTTCCTGTGGGCAGTCATGCGGTTGCTCTTCAGTCAAGTGCTCCAACAGACGAGCAGAAGCAAATGAAGGTGGTTCGAACGAAACCAATAACCTTGTTGCTCATGGTGCAATGCTACTCCAGAATGCATTCGGGGGGGAGAAGCCAGCTGAAGCAAATGATGACTGCCCTACAAAGCGAAAAGCACTCTCTGACATTGGAAACACGGTGGTATAATTTCTGGTCTCTTCTACGACGAATCAATTTTCTGAACATATTCAGACATGTTTGACACTCACTCAAGTCCAAGTAACATGACCATTTACACATAATCATGGCTTATCAACGAGTTTGCTTATATTTTTGACAGTCTAAACCAGATGCCCCAAGGCCTAACCGGAGAAAGAAATGGGGAAAATCAATGATTCAGCTGGTTCCGGTTGCTCCGCTGGAGAATGTTGCAGCTGCAGCAGTACCGGAAAAGCCAGAAAATAATGAACCTCCCAAAAATGCAGATAACTTGTGCCGAAGTGAATCGGATACCATCCCTTTGAAGTTACCAAGAGCAATGAGATCAAATGGAAGCAAATTACTAAGGGAAAGAAATACTGATCGCCAGGATGAATCCAGCAACAAGGAACCAGCTGCCCTGGCTCCAACAGCAAGTACAGAAGAGAAAGAGAACTGCCGCCGTTAACTGGTAAAGTTGCCATTAATTGGTGAACATTATTCACTACTACACTGTCACTAACAAGCTTGCATTCATCTTTTTATTTTTTTGGCTTTGGATCCCTTTGGTTGTGACAAGAAAAGATCCAACACGAAAAATTGGAATCCTTGAAAAGTGTTGATTTATTTTATACGTTGTTTGACAGTTAAAAAGACGGATGAGATTGATTAGGCTGTCTTGTATTGTGCTCTCCATTGCTGAGGAGTATTTGTTACGAACTCTTAATTTGCGAAATAACATTTAAAAAAATTCTAATTTATCCTATTTGACAGGATGAAAAAGTTTTGTTTCTATTTTGACCAGTTGACGTTAATTTTGGCCCTTGGCATAATAGAGATGATGACATGATTTAATATAATAATAATTTTAATTTGAAATAATTCAATAAAAATAATTTAATCTTTAATTTTTTTTATTAATTTGGTCTTTATTTTAGTTTGAATCTATTATTGTATCGGGTGACTTCATTATTCATCTCAAAGTAAATAATAAATGATTAAAATAAAAATAAAATGTAATGTTAAATATAATTTTATAAAAAAAAGTAATTGAAGGATTAAATTTGATTGAAAATAAATGTAGTACTAAATAAATAATTTACTCATATATAATACATGAAATATTAAACTATATAAAGAAATAAAATAGTGTATTTATCCCATACTAATAAAAAGAATAAAAAATATAAAAATGATATATATATATATATATAATCGATGTCTTGAATAGGAGTGTTTAAAAAAATTGTAACCGTTAACCTACATAACTGTTACATTTAACAGATTAATTAATCAAATCATTAATATTAAACGGTTTTAATTAATTGTGTTGCTAAAAATGATGTTTAACGGTTAAGATAGTTAATTGTTAACAAATTAAATTTATAATTAATTTTTTTTATGAAAAACTCTAATAGAACTAGAAGTAAATTTTAGCCATATTCTTAAAATTTATATATATATATATTTAATAAAATTTGTACACAAATAATTTAATATATATTTTTTATTATTTTTAATTTTTATTTCTTTGGAAATACAAAAACACATTTACACTAATATAATTACTAGTTTATTGTTAGGTAATAGGTATCAAGATATTGGTAGATGTCCATACTTACACCGTACATACTTACACTTACACTGGTGTAAGTATGTGTTAAGTACTACACTTTTTTATAGTATGAATTATGAAACTTTAAACATTCATGTTCTGTTATTTTTTTAAAAATAATTATAGTAGATTAATTTGTAACCAAACCATTAATAACAGTTAACCGTTTCTTGACGGTTAGAAAATTGTTGTAACCGTTATAACAATTAATTGACCGTTTGATTAACCGTCCATAAACCACCCTAGTCTTGAATGCATAAAAATTAACACATTGATTATATTTTATTATACACATAATTTCAATTGATTATATAACACCACTAAAATGGACTACCATTATTCTAGAACGCTACGGATGTGGTTGATTTCTTTAGGGGGGGAATCATTTAAACCCTGCTTTCTATATAATACATTCACAGTGCCAAAACTGTAACTTATATTTCCCGGTTCTACTTGATCATTTAAGTGATTATAGTTGAAGAGTGACCAATGGTAATCAGAGCCAAAAGCATCCTGTTTTATTATACAATTTTATTTATTCAGAATGATAACTATGTTTTTCATATCCTCTATGAGTAGCTGTAACACTGTTCCCCTATTACGACTTTGAATGAAAGGGCAAAGTCTAAAATTAAAAGATCCTTCTATTTAAAGATAAAATAGGAAGAAACAGAAGAACAAGGTGGATTAACATCTAGCAGTTGATGCCTCTTCTTACAATATGAAGGAAACCAGTTTAGCTTTCTGTGATCGCCATCAAACCGGCTGTTTTTCCCCAGAGGAACATGAAAGAAAGCTAGAAGAAGTAAAATTCATCGCCACATTTGGCCTGTGGATAAAACGAAAATGGGCAGCCATCACCACACATCTCTAAGATATCGTCCTTCCATTTGGAGTTTCTTTACCATAGACTCTGCCTTCAACGAATCCACACTTTCCTGAAATTTGTAGACAGGTTTTTTTGGAAATTTATGAATGGAGGACGCCGGATTTAATTATAACAAGACAAAAACTTTCAGGATGTCTTGATTGTGAAACAGTTGACTGTCATTACAAGCATTCTTGAAAAACTTGATAAAAAAATATAAGATTTTCCGACGAGGGAGAAGGAAATAGAAAGAGACGATCGATACCTGCTCCTGAATAATAGTGTGCAAAGTGCGATGAACATCTCTTGCCATACCCTTGGCATCACCACATACATAAAGATACCCTCCTTTAGATATTAGGTTCCATACATGCGCTGCCTGAGAACCGGAAGCAACAGATGTTATAATGCAAAACTTTTATATCAGACTACAATTTCTGTTCTTCCAACTTCTACTACTTACTTTATCCATCATTTTATGTTGAACATATTCCTTTTGAGGCCCTTCTCGCGAGAAGGCAATAATAAGCTCAGACAGGGCACCTCGCTCCACAAAGTTTTCGAGCTCATCCTCATAAATGAAATCCTACAAAATTTGCCCAAGTAAAATCTTAAATACAAATAGCTAACAACGGAAGCCGGTTATAATAAGACATGCGAATATCATTGCGAAAAGATTATTAGTATCAGAATCAGATCCTAACCATTCGCCTATTTCTACATCCAAAAAATAGTATAGAGGGACCAAGTTCTGAACCATCTTCTTTAAGGACCATTCTTTCCTGCAAACAGCAATTTATTATCAGTTATTATCGTCTTTTTTTAAAATAAAAGAAACCCGTAAAACAGAAAGTAACAAACCTGTAGAAACCCTCTGAAAGGTGCCAATCCTGTCCCAGGTCCAACCATGATAATTGGAATTGAAGGATCTGCTGGTAGCTTAAAATTAGATTGCCTTATAAAAATAGGAGCCGAGTTACAATCGCTGCTTTTCTCCAGAGGAACTGCATTCTGAATTTTTTTTTCAATACAGTACGGTGTCAGATTTCAGTAAAGTCTAAGAAATGTCTCTAGCACATAGATAGTATCTGCGAGTTTTGCATAAAAGAGAATATGAATGAATTATTAGACAGGGACGAGCAACAAAAGAGATATAATCACTACCTTCATCCATGTTGAACAAACACCCCGGTGAATTCTTCCAGTTGGAGTTGGACAATAAACTAAAGCACATGTTACATGAACCTTGTGGGGTACAAACCTGCTCAAAGCAACCAACCTTCGTATAAATATCAAATATTAGTTATAAGGTAATACTGCTTACGGATAAAACATATGGGATAAATTCAATAACCTAGGGGAGGATGAGATAGAATAATAACGAGGCTGTAAACGAGTAGCAATTGCAGCAAAAAATACACCAAGAGGAGGTTTTGCAGATGGGAACTCGGCCATAACTTCAAGAAGACTTCTCTGACTACTGACAACCCATTGTGAGTAATCATCCTGGGGCAAAAGAAGACATATTTAAAAGGGACACGAACACATAAACAATAAAGGATGTTTCCTTTTGGTTTTTTTATCTCCTTAAGGGAGTTGGGTGTTGTATTCCTATGTTGATATTGTTGTTAATAAAATCCTAGGGGGGCACTCTTTTCCTCCTTCCGCTGATTAAGGAACTATTTTTCAAGTTCCTTAAATCATGAAGGGGTTTTTTAATGAGGCCTAATATTCTTATCAAAAATAAATAAAGGAACATAAGAAACAAGAGTGTCAAACAAGAACAGACAAATAGGAGAAAACAAAAGCAGCACTTATCAACCTTTCCCTGCGGTGATGATAAGAATTTAAGCCTTTCAGCTTCGCTGGGTTCAGTGGCATGAGCAGCCAAGGCAATGAGAGCAGCCTGACCAAAAAAAAATAGTTTTTAAACAAAGAAACCAATTACTTAAGCCAAAAAAAAAAAGTGACGGGAAATATAAGGCAGAATCAGCTGGAAACTTTTTCCTTTGATTTGAGAAAAAAGAAATAGTCGATTGAGGGTGGTTTACCTTCCGTGGAGGGTTCAACAGATCTGTGTATCGCGCCAATGCTGTTCGAAGTGTACATGGACTGGCAAAAGGAGGTGGCAATGAGCTTCCAAGGGGTGTTCCATCCTCGTTGTCAGTGTGTATAGAAAATATCAAATCCAGAGGTTGACCCAACAATCCTGCAGCTTCCTCAACAGTCTCAGCGAAATTATCAGCATAAACACCAACGTGATCTCCAGTTTCATATCTGGGACAGTTGAACTTATTATTGGAAGAGTATAAGGTCATAAATCACAAGCCAAATTTATCTATTCTTGTAAAACAAAGTCTATGGGGCCAAAAGCACTTCATGTATACAATTTTCACAGAGGTCGATTCACAGAAAATCAATTATAAATTTATAGTAACAAAAATTATAAAGCTGTGAACCTACATGATCCCAGTCCCTGATATGTCAAACTCCAAATGTATACATGAGCGATCAGATTTTGGCCTGTGCAGCTCTCTCTGAACAGCAACATTAACCCTGTGTGCAAATCATGTAACAGTGACCTCAGGAAGGAAATAAAAGCAGGAGAAGAAGGGATTTGTAAATCATCGCAATGAACCTCCTATTACCTGCATGGATGGTGGATGTCATACGAAGCATTCCCATTTGCCTGATTTGAGTAATTATCCTCAATGTGCATCAAAGCAGGATCATGAATCACTACTCTATATTCAGGAATAGCAGCTGTGTATGGGGTAGAGGCAGTATTTTCATCATCTTTATCTCTAAGCAATTGATCCAACTCTGGCCAAAGCAATTCTCTCCTAAGGGAGGAACCAAAAAGTTATAATAAAAATCAATTAAACAAAGCTAAAAAGAGCATAAGATTGAAGTAATGTCCCAAGAAAACTCCATCATCAGATTGTTAAGATCATACTACAGCTTCAATATAAAAATCTAACACAGAATCGTTTGAGAGAGACAACAAGATGGGTGACAGCTATAGAAAACCACTGAAAGAAGATTACATACCATGCAGTAAAATCATCTTCAATACATTGATCATCATCACCAAGACCAACTTCAATAAGACGTTTAGCACCT